TAAACAAGCTAGAAAGAAAACAATTGGATTTTGATAAGAACAATAATTATACTAGATAATTACTTCGGCTCGCTGCATTATACCTACGAATGCTGCGTGCCTCAGTAATTATCTATTAAATAAAACCCGATTAATGGTCCGATTTCATTCGATGTGCACCGTTTCTGTAAAAGTTCTGGTTACGGCCCTGGAGAGTGCTGCTTTTACCCCACCTCTTCATCAGTGGACCCTTTTAGGGTCATTCAATCATCATGACTGAATTAAAGCAGCTAAACCTGTATGGTGATAAGGGTGAGAAAACCTCTTCATCAGTGGACCCTTTTAGGGTCATTCAATCATCATGACTGAATTAAAGCAGCTAAACCTGTATGGTGATAATGGTGAGAAAATTCCAAACAACGATGAGCAAAATAGGCGAAAGTTTGAAGTTCAAACAACTTATAATAAAAAAAGGGTTTTTGATTTGAACAAAAAGGTTTGGTGCCCATCAAGAATAGATGCGCGTGGCTCGTGGTTACAAGTTGGTCTGGGTCTTCCCTATTACCTTTGTTCTGTTGCTGTAAAAGGAAACACTGGAAACATGAACGAGTGGGTTAAAACATACACTGTAGGATTGTCTTATGATGGCTCAATGTTTCATCACGTCAAGGAGAATGGCGTTATTAAGGTGGGTCCGACTAGATTTTGCGCTTTTAATTCAACGAAGAAAGGTTTTCATACAAATTTTTGGTTTGCATTCATTCCCAAGAGAATGAAATAACAAAAGACACGGCGGCCATGTTGGATGATAAAACAAAATAGACTAATGACGAATCTTTCATTGAATTCATCCAACATGGCGGCTTTGAAAGCCATCAATATTATAATGATATCACACAACGTCAAACACTTAAATGTTGACCAAGAGGATATTAAGTACTTGCTTAATATTATCTTGATGTTGACTCAATATTTCATTTTAAAGCTTTGCTTTTAAAACTGCTTTACTTACTGACTGCAGTCATGAGTAATTCAGCGGCTGAATCACTGAATGACTCTCCAACTTGTTCTTTTCTCAATTGTTCTTTCCTGGGTACGGCGATAAAAATTATGTAAAGTAAAATCTCTTCAACACATTTCTTTGCGTATTTTACAGGATTTCCATGCTTCGCGAGAAGGTCTCGAGAGCGCCCTTGATGTTGCTTTTCCTTATAGATTCGTACGATTTTATCCAAAAGGATATCATAATTATCCATGTATGGGCGTGGAAGTTTATGGTGTTGGACGTAAGTCTCGTATGGTTTTAGGCCTTACGGCCTGATTTTATGGGACAATAAACCGTGGTATTATTAGTAGTCCCGGTCTGTGTCGTTGTTTAACACGTCAATTTCGTTTGGCATTGATCAGGGGATTTGTGCTAATTAACTGGGAGTGATATGCCCACATGCCCACTGACTTAAGATAATTTTGGCCATGACCCCCCATTACTATGACCCTCTCCATACCATGACCCTCCATGCCATGACACCCCCATTACCATGACCCCCGTTACCAAGACCCTCCATACCATGACACCCCCATTACCATGACCCCCGTTACCAAGACCCTCCATACCATGACATTCCCATTACTATGACGCCCGTTACCATGNCATACCATGACACCCCCATTACCATGACCCCCGTTACCAAGACCCTCCATACCATGACATTCCCATTACTATGACGCCCGTTACCATGACCCTCCTTGCCATGACACCCCCATTACTATGACCCCCGTTACCATGACCCTCCATGCCATGACACCCCCATTACTATGACCCCCGTTACCATGACCCTTTAAGCCATGACACCCCCATTCTTATGACGCCCGTTACCATGACCCTCCATACCATGACACTCCCATTACTATGACTTACTTTAGTTATACTTTTTTCTATTTGGCAAACCATTTGAGTATATTGTAGTAGATGTTTCGACCTTCCCCTTTTTTTCTCTCTTCTTGCCTTCTTTTATCTCATATTAAAACAAAGCAGTGGCTGAGAATGTCCTCTGTTATTAAAACATTGTGATAACCTGATTGCCGCACGTCGTTCTTTAAATGTAGTGCCGTTGCTAAATCTGTCAATCACACTCACTCATGTTAAAAGACAAAAAATTGCGCAATCCAAATTATTACCTCTTGTTGGCTATATATTGATATTTATCATCATTTTATAATAATCCTTTAGCCGCTAGAACTTATGAAGTGGGTCAACAGTTCAATATTGATGAAATTAGAGTAAAAGGTGATCATCATGCACCTTACTTATTCGTCCCCTTCGACTGGAAAAGCCGTAACGACTGGAGATTAGCAAGATATGTCTCACACCTGCAGAATAACGTTCACGTGAAGGTGATGCCTGGTTCTCAGAGTACTTTGGTCTTTAATTCCAATGACGTCATTTTGAATTTGCCTCCTCGTAGCGATACTCTTTACACCGGAAGAGCTGTGTATGCTCCGTTTGCCAAAGATATGCAAGGAATGGCTATGTATGCAGTTGGTAGAATTAACCTCATTCAAAATGGGGAATACCTCGTTACCCCAAGTAAGATATTCTCATAATAATATATCATATTCTCAAAATAATAATAATAGTAATAATAATAATAATAATAATAATAATTTTAAGCCAGAACGTTAATATAGTCAAGAAGTTCTATGAATATGCATAAGCTGAAGAAAGGATTGAAAAAAAAAATGATGAACTTAACCAGCCTAGACTTAGTCCGCTGGTCAATGTAAACAYGATATATACAGACAAATAAAACTTGCCATAATAATAATAAATTCTTGACTTCTATTTTCCCTTTATTTTTGATTTCTATTTTCCCTTTAAATTGATTTTTTTTTTTTTAATTTTAATTACACCTCGTATTGTAAATATATTCTTGTTTTCCCAAGGCCCATGGATTGGACTCGGTAAGCTAAGGATTTTGTAAGCAAAATTGAAGCAAATTGTAAATAAAGATAATAA